TACATTTCAAACTTTACTAAAACATAAAAAAAGGATTTAGAGTTATACCCTTTGAAAAAATGCTTGTCTAGACTCCTCCTAGACCCTTTGGTCTCCTTCTTCTTCTTCTATGGTTTGTAGTGGCTCAAGATTGGGGGAGTAGGAGAAAATATTTGAGAAAGAGTGGAGGAGTATGGTATGGCCGGATTTTGAGGGGGAGAGAAAAGCTAGGGAAAAAAATGAGGCTTATCCTATGGTGGTTCCTTTTATAGGCACTTGGAAATTATTTTTTTTTAACACCACATCAACTCTCTCAATCAACCAAATTTTGGTTCAATTTCCCCCAATCTTGGCCGGTTATGGAAGGAGAAAAGGAGAAGCCAAAATTGCCATTAATTCCCCTTCAACCACTACCATCCCATCACCTTAACTTGTAGCCTTCTAACATACTCAACATATAACCAAAATTTTTGGATATAACTTCCTAAGGATGGCCGGCCAAGTGAAGAGAAAAAGGAGAAAAAAACTAATCATTAGTCCTATTCACCTCTCTCATCACATCTCATCAAATCACACACACTAACCTACACCTTGTACTTTTGTCCATTCCCTTAACTTACTCATTAAAACTGTCCAAAATTATACTGACAGTTATTTTCTCTTGTATACGGGTTCTGGATGCTAGGTTGTACTGTGCTGGGAGATTCTTAAAATTAAGATTCTCTAACTGTATCTATACTGGAAATTCTTCCGTTTTAAAGTACGGTGAGAATTTATCGATCGAATTTACTTGATCGGAAAAAATGTGAACTTAACGTGAAATCTGCTACAGAATTTAGGAATGCAGATGTTAATTCCATAAATCCTTCAATCACAAAATGTACATAGTATAATGATTTTCCAGGAAAATCCTTGACTCAAATACATGAATTACATTATTAAAATTCTGAGATTTTCTTAGTCACTACAAATATAAGTCTAATCAATCCCAAACACATTGTTTTTAAATTTCTTATTTTATATTTCACTTAGAATCCCTGTATTTCAAGCCCATCATCTGCTGGAACCTACCAAAAGGGATTGAATTAAAAAAAAATGAAAAGAAAAAAAAAAGAAAAATTGTTTTCTTCTCTTTTGGACTCTAATTTTTGTATCAATATGGTAGGGAAAAACAAGTTGCCAATAGAGGACGACTCTTTATAAAACAAAATACCACTTGATCTTCTCCCATGGAGTCTCGTTTTTGTATCTGCATATATGGTGGGGGAGAAAGAGTAGCTAAAAGAGGGTACTTTTGAAGGAAAAAGATTTATTCTCTTCTTTGTGGATTCTGGAGTTTAAATATCAATTATATGGTGGGGAAAAAAGAGTTTTGCTTAGTTGTGTGTACTTTTTGTATGCTGCCAATTCATCTCCAAAAGATTCTACTAGTTGGTACTCCAAATTATTGTATATATAAACATTAAGTCTCAAATATCTTGCAGACATGTTTTGCTTAGTCGAATGTTGTGTCCAAATCAAAGCGAGAGACAAATAGAAAGGGCTTAATTGTTCTTTGTCTTCTTTTTCAAAGATTTACCTTAAATCTCTGTAATGGCAAGTTGGCCTAAATAGTACATCACTGATTTTTTTTTGAAAAGGAGAAGATAAATTTGGTTGATGCAGTATATTCTCCTCAATAATACTATGATGCAGCGTGATCCAGCTACCTCAACACTGTTATTTTTCAGCAAATTTAGATATTTTTAAGATGTGTTATTATTAGTTATTTATTTTTCAAATTAAATTTGATTTGAAATTTAAGGTCCCGTTCATTTCACCGATCCGAGTTTAGAATTCGAGTTTTGCTACAGTAATGGCCCGTTCGGTTCGTTAATTCTAGTTTTTAATTCGAGTTGAGATGTGATATTGTGTGAGAGCTTTTTACTGTAGCAAAAAAGTTAGATGTGACTATTTCTGAGAGATTTTTACTGTACTAAAACTCGAATTCTAAACTCGAATCAGCGAAAAGAACGGGGCCTTAAACTCTCATAAACAATCACATCTAACTTTTTTACTACAGTAATAAACTCTCACATAAAGTCACATCTCAACTCGTTAAAAACACGAATCAACGAACTAAACGGGCCCAAGATTGTATTTGATTTCGAACTTAGTGTAGGATTGAGTTTTCTATAATTTGAACTCCAATTTTAGATAGGGCAAATTTTAATCCTCTTAAGGGTCATTAGTTGTACTTTTATTTTCAGATGATGATTAATTAAAAACCAGAGAATTCTTTTTTAAATTTGCTCGCTCTTCGTTTTCTCTAAAATTCGAATTAATTACTTGTGTTTGTTTTCCATTGTCCCGCTACATTATACTACCATATTGCCTAGCAGCTTCGAAGCTGCATGGCTTGAACAAACTTTTAGTGTGTTTGCATAATCCGGTGTTAATTACGTTGTATGCTACTTCTTGAGAGTTGAATTTTAAACATACCACTTTTGTGTAAAAATTAGGCTTAAGTTTTTCACAAAAGTGTCATGTTTGAAATTTAATTCTACAAAAGTGGCATTCCTCTAATTCACCCTAAAATCCATATGGTCTGTTTCTATTACTTGTATCATTAGTTTAATCTATAGGTAACATATAAATTATTTCTCAGAAAATTGAAAAAAAATTAATATTTAGAGATCACAAACTTGCACACACTATCTACCCGGATATTTCTTCTTTCACTTGGTGCCGTTTTAACAGCACAATTCCTGAGAATAATTATAATTATTTATTTGTTTACTTTTGGCGTAGTTTGTTGTAGTGTTAATTCAGTTTTATGTCACATATAAAAATTTGAAATCTTATTGATAGATTTTATATAATGATAGTAATAAGAATGTTTATTTTAGATATAATACAAATATTATAGTATTCTAGCCGAAAAATCTAATAACAAAAATAATGTTCACACAATATGCTGTGGATGCTCTGTAGAGACCGGCAGAGACACCTTGTGATCACAATTATTATCAGTACTGTTATAGACTACAATGCAATAATATTAATGTAAATACGTATCTGTATACACATAAAAATTTGAGATTTTCTCTCCTTTTTCTCAGTCAAAAAAGTATATAAAACTGAGATACTCTTTTCTTTTATTATTAGCTTTTAAGGCTCGTGTATTAACCTGCGGAAAACAACAAAGGAAAAGCAACAACTTAGATACAAAACTTAAATTGCAGTGAACGGATCTGAGAAATCATGATGCTTCTTTTGAACAAAGTACCTTGGCTCCTTAGTGGATGAAGATTGAATTTCTACTGTAAGACTTGAAATAAAAATAAATAAACTATCGGTAAATTTATGTGTCTGTTTTTAACCGTCAAATTTATATAAAAAAAAATTATATATTATGCATACTTTATTTTTAAAATTTTAATGTGATTTTCACTATTGGATTCAACAAAACGTATACTATCTATAGGACACATCTTTTTTTTTCTTTTTTTTTTTTGTGGATGAACTAGTTTAACTTTTCAACTTTTTCACAAGGGAAAGGATTTCATCTAAAAGCCCTTTTCAGCTTTACTTTTCAACAAGATCAGAAGATAAAAAATGGATTCTATTCCACACTTTTATGCAAAGTCACATAGAGTAACACTCACAGTTCTTTTTGAAAAATGGACTGCAGCTGATAAAGCCTGATAGATATTGAGAATCTGTCTCAGGGTAAAAACAACATATAAGAGATTGGAAAAAGACCCAGTTTTTTTACAGCCTGAGCGGTAGAGAAAAAAAGGGGTTGTGGTAACTTTTACTGAAAAGTTTTTCATCATTTTGGTGCAAGGGAACTGAAACATTTTTCACTCTGCTGTTAAATTTTCTGTACTCAGTTTTTTGTCTATCCCTGTAGGAGAATTTTATGGTAGTATCCTGTTTTACCTTACAGATTTAGAATATTAAATCACATTTTTATCGCGTTAAACTTATAAAAATATACAAATTTAACTGAACTTGATGAGATCGGTTCAAAATTAAACAGTATTGATAGAAGTATTCTTTTACCCCAGCACAGAATTTTCCCTCCATCAGATGTACTCTTCAACAAAAAGTGGCTCATGTGACAAACATTTATGCGTATTCCACTGGGGAATAAGCTATGGATTAAAGCCAAAAAGTATTTAGTAAAGATACACATAACTATAGAACAGCAAAGTACAAAGAAAGTCAAGAGGAAGTGGGGCTTTTTCTGAAGACTATTGATTTGAACTGATTACCATTAACATCTTCATGATCACCAATCATTTTGTGGCTCTCAAAATTTTTTTTTTTTTCTTGGCTATTTTGTCTAATCTAGCATTATTAGAAAAAAAAAAAAAAAAAAAAAAAAAAAAAAAAAAAAAAAAAAAAAACATGACAATGCCTTAGAATCAACAGCAACACACATGACTGCATTATCTGAACTGGGGTTCCATCAAAATGTCCCTCTCTGTCTGTCTCTCTTATCCACAACTTTCATCACCAATTTGATGCTGACTTAACATTGGTTTGCCATTAAACTGCAATTCTTGAAGCATCAGAAACATTAGACAAACTATTAAAAACCCCATCCTGGAAATTTGTTGACTTTCTTGCACTGTGGAACTGCTGAGAAGACAGCTTACAATGAGCTATTGCTCCTTCAATGGAGCTCTCAAGCTCCGAGCTTGCACTGCTACTTCTCTTCAGAAGATTGAAATGATCACAGCAACCGCCATTCGAGCTTAAGGAAAAAGACGATGAGGACGAAGAGGACGCAGACGATGATGTGGAAGTACTAGTAGACAGCAAGGATGATTTGGAGTTTGCGCCAGAAGAAATGTGCCTTTGAATCACCCCAGAAAAGGATTTCCTGTGTTGACTGCTATTGATCATTATCTCATTCTCTATGCTCTTCACGAGAGTGGTTGAAATGATCTGGTGGTATTTTCCTGCATTTTCTCTCATTTTCCCAAAAGGGTTCCTCTTGGAATCTGCATTGGTGTTGAATTGATCATTGCATGTTGGCTTAAGAATATTGTTCTTATTATCAGAAACATTACAAGAAGACTTGTTGAAAAGAGACTTGAGATATGCCCTTGAGGCCTTGAGCTTTCTCCCAATAGAAAACGGCTTCATCAGCTTGGTTGACCATGACTTTTTTGATTGCCCACCAATGAAAACTCTCACTTCAGTTGACCATTGGGAGAAAACCTCATCTGGATTTAGCTCACAGCTGACTCTACAAGACTCTGAGGGTGAAATATTGCTAGACTCCAATGGGGTGTTTGTTGTGTTGGTACAAGGAGCTGTGAAGGAACTTCTATGCATATTAAAAGGAATCGTAAATGTTTCTTCTTCTTCTTCTTCGTCCAAATCTTCTTCTTCTTCTTCTTGATCTTGGTTTGAATTAGTAGAAGTTTTATTGGAGTTTTGGAGAATGTTTTGGACCATTTGTAAGCGAGGAGGGAGGTGAAGAGGGAGAAGTTTTCCTTTGTAGAAAAGCTCATCAGCTGGGAAAGTTGAAGTTTCTTTGTCTTGGTTTGGGACTGAAGACATTTGGAACTCAAATTCTTTGGTGGTATTAGCACTATTTGGTGGAGAGCTAATAGAAGAATAGGGAAAGAAGTTTGAGGAAGAAGAAGAGCTAATTTCCATGTCTATGTATTCATCATCTATTTGGTGTGAAGCTTGAGTAGTAGTGGCCATCTCATATGACCAACTCTTACTTCTCTCTCTCTCTCCTCTCTCTAGTTTCTCTAAGTGCGTATGTGTGTTTGTGTGCTAAAAGATGCTTATGGGGAGAAGAGCTAGGGGAAGGAAGAGGGCAGAGCATCCTTTAAAGTGAAGACGTTGCCAAGTTAGAATATATAATGTAAAAATTAAAATAAATAAATAAATAATAAATTCAAAAGGAATTAGTCAGATTTTTTTTTTCTTTTCAGTAATTTTAATATATCTCTCTTGTGAATGCTTCCAAGGACTACAATGCAGAAATAATTTCATTTTGAACTTTGTTTTTCCGCGCAGAGCAAAATCACTTATAAATGGTCATTACCCCAATTCTTTCATTTTAAATTTTTAATCAAAGTCTAGTCAGGTCCATTACCTTATTTGTCTTTGTTTGGCTATCCATTACAGTAATGATAAACATTGTGAACATCATTAATATAAATGTATAAAAGTTATGTGTTCTTTTCTTTTAATGAACTTGAGGATAGGGGGATTAATTTGAATTGGACGTCTCGCGATGTAATTAGATGAGGATTTATCGTTAGGCTGTGCTCGCAACCATCATGTGAGTTTCATTTTGTTCTGTATTACCACAATATAAGTATTTACTTTCATTAAACTTTATGGAAAAAATCTCATGATGAGTGACATTTAATTACTGCAATGACAGCTTCTTCTGTACCATGTTCATATCCTTAAGGAACTAATATTGATAGAATTAGCTTGAAAAAGAAACCTCTATTAATTAGTCCACTTTTAAGTGGTCTACAAAATTCCCATTAGAGAAAGATACCACTTTCCAACAGTTGCATTATAGTTCACAAGTGTTTTGTGTGATGTGATACTAATAAACAAGTACAAGTTTTGATATTGGTAATACTCTCGAGGGTAATCGTTTTCACTGAGCCCGTTTGGTTGGAGGATTCGTTATCTAATTCGAATCATGGTTCATGGTTCGTTATAGTATTTTCTCTCACAAAAAATACACGTAAATCAAAAATAGTTCTAATCTTATGGTTCTAATCCATGAACCAAACGGGCTCTAAATCTCTTAAACCAACCAAATTCCGACAAGTAAGAAGCTTAAGGTGGGGGTAGAAGCATGATATCAGATTGTGTACAATGCATGGTACTGTAGAGTTAGTGGGTGACATTGCTGAAGCAACTCATGGATGTCCCCACTTTTTGTAAATACCTTGAACATGGGTGAGAATCTCCCACCCCAAGATGTTGACCCTCTCTTGTTTTTATTGCAATTTCAATGTAAGTTTGCATAAATCCATCTTTTGTACAGTGTTCAGAAAGTGAAAACTCAAGAAATCCCAGATTCAATCCAATTTTGAATTCATCATTTATGTGTTGTGCAGCTGCAGCATGGTGCATCTATATTGGAATACTCAAATGGGCTACATCACCTTCCACATGTTGGGTTGGTTGGTTGGTTTAAGCCATTCTTTTGTATTGTTCACAATTTAGGCACAAACCCATCTCTCTTTTTTCAATTATTATTATTATTATTATTATTTTATTTTAAGAGATTTAAAATTTGAAAGAATATTCTACTAATAGACTATTTATTTCGACTGTTAGATCTGTATTAAAAATTATATGTTCTACAAAACATACACAATCGACATGAGACCTACTAAAGAAAGATCATTTATTTTATACATTCTATCTTTCTTTTCTTTATTTAGTTTCTTCAAGGATTTGAACATATATATATATATGGCTCTATGATAAAGGCCAAACTGTTTTAGCTTTTTAATCATGAAAATAAATAAATAAATAAAAAGTTGTTCCTTTCTTGTTCATTTTTTAAGAATACTTTGTATTTAAAAAGACAAGGCTATTTATATATACTACTATATACGTGAATATAATATAATTCAGTTAGTTTCCCTGAAAGATCCACAAACTTCCCTGCAACAATACAAATTTTTTGCATTAAAAAAAGCCAGCCCACTTCTCAAAATCTGGTTTTTTGCACCCTCACAATTTCTATAATCAGGAGAGAGAAAGAGAGAGAGAGAGAGATCAGACAGAGAAGAAGGGTGAGACCTCTATTTTGTAATTTTCTATCTGATCAATCTACATAGGTGTCCTTGTTCTGACCTAGTCAAATTGCTGAGACAAAATTTTAACCTTTGGGGCTCAACATTTCCATCATTGCTTTGATTAACTAATTTACTTAATTTTGGAAGGCAATTGTCTTAGTTCTATATGTGTGTGTATATATACCCGTATATATATATATATATAGTTTATTTATGTTTTGAGTTTAGAGCAAGAGACTTTTGTTTGAAGAATGTGAAATCTATAACACCATTAATGATTCAAATCCTGCCTCTTTTTTCTTGTCGTTTCCATCTTGCACACACGCAATTTACACATGCACTACTATTGCTTTTTATTAATCATTCCAGACAAATGAAACTTTGGACTTTGTTCCAGAATAGGCAAAGCTTAGGATCGATGCCTTTGGATGTGTACGGTAAATGATGATTATCTTCTTGATTAATTCACTAGTATGGGTCAAAGATATTCTAATGCCCATTAGTACCAAAGTTAGTACTTTGTTTAAAAAACTTTAGTACCAACAGCTTAAGAGAGACTTGCCTTGAGCCCAAAAAAAAAAAAACATTGTCGTATCATTAATAATACAATGATGTTTCTCATGCTAAATTTGACATAATGTTATATTCAGTGTTGAATTTGATTTCAAATATTAAATATGCCTTTGTTTTTACTCTTTGGTGTCAAAATATTAGCATTGATATTTGATATTAACATTTACTGTCTAAACTTTGACCAACTTTATATCTTATGATAACCGACACATCACCAATTTACCGCCTCCAATAGACGTTATGAATTGAGTTAGCTGCCTTACAATGGTCATTTATTATGGCCTCGTTCATTTCACCGATTTGAGTTTTCAGTTTTAAGTTTCTACAGTTAAAAGTTCTCAGAAAATGTCACATCTAATTTTTTCTGCTATAATTAAAATCTCTCAGAAAATGTCATATCTCAGCTCGAATTGAAAACTCAAATCCGCAAAGCGAACGAGGGCTATATGTGCCAGAAAATGCTGAAAATTCACTATCTCACACTATCGCGAAAAGAGATTAATCACCGCAACTGGTTAAAATTAGATGAGACCTACCTCCGAACAGTTTAAACTTTTAAGATGAATCGATTAGTAAACTAACATTTGTATGCATTTTGTCATGACAAAAAATAAAATTACTACTTTACCACTCCAATGTTTGTGAAAAGAGCTAGCCTCATTACAATGGCCACTCTCTTCTTACAATGTTCACTTGATACCATCCTTTAAGTGATTGCTCTTTTTTTTTTTTTTCTTCCTGATTTCCCATTTAATAATTATTTTTAATGAATTTTTGTACTAGTTCCTTTCACACGAATGATTAGCCTTTATTGTGACAATGATCTCCATTTGGGCTACAATAGCTTTCCAACATGATCAAAGACGCGTACATATGCAAATTGCATAATGGAAGTTTCAGATAAAGCCAACTCTAAGAATGTATCACTTTTATAGACTTCTCCTTTATCCTTTGTAGGGTCTAGCGTGCCCTCCAGAAGTTTTCAATTTTTGGGCAATCCCACCTTGTCACATAATAATTATTAGATGTTCCCTTCAAAAGGTAAAATCAATTATTAAGCCTCAATTCAAAGTATATATGTAATTTCAAACAGTTATTTTAAGTACATAACTTACACGTTTAGACTACTACTTTAAGTTTATACATAATTCCTTTGGAAAGACCAAATACAGTCCAAACAAGAGGTTGTACACATAACAAAGTTCATAACATTTTTTTCCCCCCTTTCCATAGCCATTTTGGGTTAAGAAGATGTGTTAGTGCCTCTTCGTATATAAAGAAAACCGCGCGTTCCGAAGTGTAAGTATGAGAGGAAAGATTTCATAATCGGGATTTTGAATAAGATGTCGCTTTGATTTTTTTTTGTTTTTTCATATTGGAAACAAAATTTAAAATAATGAAAATGAGAGTTCTCTAGCTAGCAAACTAGGCTTGAAGAGCATCAGCGCGCTAGGTTCAATTTGGTCACAAGTTGGAATTGAGATTTATTACGCTTTTCGGTCTAAATTGTAATTTAAATTGCAAACCGAACTGGCGTTTGGATATGCAAAACAATATCGTAGCTTAAATCTCATCTTGCTTCACTTACTCTACATATGAATAGCATTTAACTATTAGTAAATACACAAAATTTACATCCTTGTATGCAAATCCAATATACTACTACTTTTAATTTCTCTTTTAGGCATGCCAAGATACTGCCTTTTTATGAGATACAAGATTCACCCACCAAAAAACCAACAAAGAATTTGGCTTAAAATTGTTGGGCAGCCAGTGGTTATTACTTATTAGTCCTTTTCAAGAGCATTTAAATTCCCAGTCATTGATTTCTTCTGCTTCAATATCTGAGTCTAGCTCTATTAATCAATGAATCACCGTTTCTGTGTTTTGGAGTTTGATTGTTCCTAGCATTAAATGTTGTCACTGATTTTTGGGCTGGAGTTTCAATTTCCAATGTTGGTGTAATGACCAAGAAAATCTCAAAATTTAAATAATGCAATTTATATATTTAAGTCTAGGATTTTTCTTGGAAAAAAAATATATTATGTTATATTTTGTGACTGAAGAATTTACGGAATTAACATTTGTATTCCTAAATTCTGTAACAGATTTCATGTTAAGTTCATATTTTGCGATCAAGTAAATTCGATCGACTAAATTCTCGCCGTACTTTAAGGCGGAAGAATTTCCAGAACAGATACAGTTTGAGAATCTTAATTCCAAGAATCTCCAAACACAGTATGAATTAGCATCCAGTATATATACATGAGAAAATTATAGCTAGTATAATTTTTTTTCACTCTTTCTCTCACCTTGGCCGGCCATCTTTAAAGGGTTTTAAGTAAAATTTTGTTTAGTTAAGTGGACTAAAAGATGTAATGAATAGATAAACCAAATCATCTAGTTGTCTATAAATAGAACCAATGTGATCTAAGTCTAACTTTTTACTTTATCTTACTTCTTTC